TCGCGGTGTGTTGTAGTGTTGGTTTCTCGCGTTTAGGCGCGGTAGAGGCGTTCGTCATGGTCACCAACTCAACGCTATAGCTGTCTCTCTTGGTATCGGACTTGCTTAGAGAGAACGGATGTGATTGCTGCATGCTTTGTTTGCAGCACCTTCACCAGCCAGGGGTTGAGTAGAAAGTAAACGGCGGTATTGTATGTATGTATGTACATATGTAACGTGTAAATAATGTAAATATGGATTGACAACGGTTTAGCTGATGTTCTGAAGGCATATACGTGAAGAAGGGAGGGGTTGAGGGGGGGTCGTGGTGTACTTTGGGGGCTCCGTGGGGTCATGAGGGGGCGGGGGGTGGGGGCTCCGTGGGTCATTTTGGTCAAAAATGTCGCATTTCACCCAATCACCAAAAACTCATCGGATATCGACGAAGCTCGACGCCGCGGTCACGCCCAAAGTTGTTTTACTTTCCAAATCGTTTTTTTTCCAAAGATATCGCGAAAAACAAGATTGTGAATATTTGCCCGAACGGACCATAGGTACGTACTAACATGACGTGCATGTAAATAATATCGTATTCATTCGTGCAAGTATGAGCATGAAGACAGAAATAGTAAGGGGTATATATTGAGTGAAACGTTTTAGGACTTTAGTGCTAACATCTTCAATTGTCGGAGAGCAATAATAATAAAAATAATACGAGAGGTGCCGAAAATCAAAACGGTACTTCTTCTGATCCTCTCATCCAGAGACTTCAATCAGATCTGAAAAACCAAACCCAAGCATAAATCAAACAAAAAAAACGCCAAATCTCAAACTAAATCAAACTCAAAATTAACCTCAATGCCCCTACTTTTCCAGCCATAAACCCCAGCGCATTGGACCACTGCCCCTGCCATTGTTTCTCCCCCGCGGATTTTCGCTCGCCTCCGCCGCGGTCGGTTTCTGTGCTCTTCGTCCGGCTGGCCGCGGCTGGAGCATCGTCAGTAAATCATCCGCCTTCGTTGGGGGAGACCACAATTGTCGCTCCAGAAGGATTGACTCGGCAGCGGTGGAGGGCAGGTCGCGCGTTCGGAAGGGAAGATGGTGGCACAATCAGTTCCTTATAAAACAGCACCCCTGAGGAGAATCACATTCCACAACACTCCCCCCGGTTCTGCACAGGTGACTGCTGTACCAAAACAAAATAAAATACAGTTGGACATCCAAAATTTCTCTACTGCTCACGCCGTGTAACTTCAAAGGTCGTGTTCTGCCACTGAAATGTCTTGAGTGATCTCTTCGGAGGAACGCATTTGGTGGATCTTGCTCCGCGTCATGCTGAGTACTGCCTCTTATTGCTGTCCTCTACGATCTAGTCGGGAATTTAGTTTCTGGGTCAACCTCGCTTCTTGGCTGAGTGATGCCTCGGACTATTTTTCNCCCAACATCTCCCACAAACTTGCCATGAAATCATACGTGCTTGCGTCAAGAATTCTGACTGTCCTTCAAATGCGTAATGATGTCCACGCTTTGCTGATGATGCGTAACTTTGTTTGTGGTACGAAGTTGTTTTCTTGCATTTTGTGACCGTGGAGAGAGATGAAAACCGGGCAGAAGTTTACCAGTTTGTGCAACACGCGACACCTCGGGAAAAACGTCACATGCAGGGGGTGCCCGCCTTGTGTTTTTTTGTGTTTTCGAGAGGCATCCCTGATTTGCCATGCTGACAGCCTGACAGAAGCCTGGAAAGCATGGGGAACCGTTTTCCTGGTAATCTTTGTATTCATTCTCGGAACGGAAAGCGCAACCGCTGACCTTGCAGTGTCTTCTACCGCTACCGCCCTTCGTGTTAGCGACGACAGGACAGGTAACAGTTAGTCTAAACGTATATATACTTGGAAGTATATATTTTTGCTCTACTGGACTGGTCCGACACCAACAAAAGCACGAACGCCAACATAGATAGGGGGCGCAAAAACAAAAGTGCGCAGACGCAAGGAATCTTACCTAATCCACTCAATTCAAATGGCTTCCTAGTACGCGTACCTTTCGTCTTTCTTGTACGCGTATCGCCTACGCCTTCCCAGTGGGCACGGACCGCCTCGCTGTGAGCATGGTCTTCCAAGTGGCACCGCATACACATCAACACCCCTGACTTACTCCCGTTCGTAGAGTACTTTGTGCAAATGCAGCCGCTGTTGGACCTATCGCATGTATGTAGGGTTCATGCAGTCCCTGGCATTCTTTAGCTTGACGCTACCCCACACAAGCCAGCGCGACGTCAGTCGTCTCCGTTTATTCCCGCCCCTGCCAACGTTGCCCTCGTTACACCTGGCCATCATAACGTCGCCATCGCTTCGTCCCAAACAACCCGCTCTACTTTTGCCAGCCTGTTCAACTCCGACACAGCATCCTCCAACTCGATTACCCTGTCAATCGAGGCATTCTTCCGTGCTATCACCAGGCTGCCGCCCGCCTCCGTGTGCAACATACGAACCCACTTCTTGAAAATCTGATAAGCGTTGGTCAAGGGCTGCTCTAACTTAGCCTCCATCACGCGTCGCCAGTGATTGTTGTACGACTTGTGGCCGTGTGTGTGCGATCTGTTCTGTTGGTCGGCCGTATCGACTCCCCCCATTTCCCGAACATAGTCCTTGCGCATGCTCGGCTGCTCGGTATGCAGTCCTTTTCCTTCGCTCCCGGCTTTCCGCATCCTTCCATGGTACTGGGATAAACAAACATACATCGGAATTAACAGGAAAAGGGATATGATCAGATTTAGGACGAAGCAGAGACACAATGACGCACGGAGTAACCGGCCCCCTCAATTAAACGGGCAGCAGCCAATGGGCTATATTTTATAGGGCAGGTGGGAGGTTCAATTTCGTGTTGTGGCAAAAACACGAGAACGCAGCTCGAAACGACAAAACAATAACGCCCCCTTCCCATACAACAGACACAACATAACAGTTATTTACTGGTACTTGATATAAGGTAGGCAGGGAGTTGAGATACTTCTCATCGCATGGACAATACAAGAAGGCGGCAGGGCGAAATAACTGAAAGGACCCCAGACCCGTCACTGGAGCGGAAGAGGTTTGACGTGGTTGATCCCACCACCCACCAGCTCCTCCCCCTCGCCCGGCTGCGCGATGTGGATGGTGCTACACAGGAGGACATCTTTCGAGTCCTTCCACTGCATAAACGCGACCTCTCCCGACCGGCGGAACTGCATGGCACCACGTTGGGCAAGCTTGTGTCCAAGGCTCGTGAGGGATGGCACCGCTCCGGCCGTTCGATCGGAAGGGCACGTGCCAACCGCAAAGATGTCGTGGGACGCCAAGCACTCGAACAGCGTCGGGTCGGTGAAATAGTTGACCATGGCGATGTAAACCCCGAATCCAACGGGCTTCTCCTTCAACACCGGGCTCTCGCCAATCAGCACCCAAAGCACCTGACGCGTCGTACGCCCTAGTGGGCACCCATCCATTGACGTAGGTTCGGGTCTCCGGGCATCCCCCCGTCGACGCTGGATATCACGCAGTATCCCTCAACATCGCACAGAGCCCACATGTTGATACCTGTTGTTACAGCGAGGAGGGAAACCCGGAGAAAAAACAAGGTCACCCACGACTAGCGTTTTACCCCGGCTCGATAAACTGGCACCGGGTATCTGGTGGGTTGGAACCGGTACCCGGGTAAAGGGGGGGGGGTTCGCCTTGTATGCGTCATACGAGGTACCCCATGATCCTGTGGGCGCCGTGCCACCGGCTTTGCCGTGTACGAACATCACGATTTACCCTCCAGATCTTGGGTGCCGTGTGTCAAACCCAAATGCATACCCTGATACAAGACAGATGGAAGTGGAACCGGCCGTGTATTCCCAGCACCAGGAGGCGTGTACTGGGTTCTGCCCCAGTCGGGGCACGACACTATCCACGCCGACCGCAAAAGAAAAACAACAAAAACGTATTGCCGCGCCCTGCCGCTGCGTATGTAAGGCAATCCAAGAGCAAAAAACGGAAAGCGATGTAAATTCCCCGAAATTGTGTTCAAAACAACCAGGATCATCAAACAAGATCAATCAGCTCTGAAACTACCCAGTGAAAAAATAGAGGTTGAGCCAAGCAACGCCGGCGATATATTCGTCGCGTTGACTATCACAAGAAACAAACACCGAAAATATTGTGGAACTCATCGTGAGTGATTGGCTTCAAGGGGTTACACCTCTGGAGGAACTCGAACTACGTCGAAACACTCTTGACCATCTGCTCGTCATAGGCCAGCCACTGGTTGATGTCCACGTTTTCCGCCCAGGCTTTGTTCAGAATTTTCCTCCAGCAACCTGCCGAGATGTGACGAAGGCACAGGTGGTGACGACAGAACATGCGATAGAATGAGTGAGAGTGCGGGTGGACGTCATCTCCCCGAGCGTACCAGATACACTAACGGCACGTGTGTACAGCTAACCGAATGTAAGCAGGGACCTCACGGTCGGCGGGGAAAGGCTTTATTAACCTTAGTGTCGTCCTCATGTACACGCCAAATCACAGACATGCACCGATTTTCGTACCACGCGACGGTGACGGATTGCCGAGAGTGAGGGGTGGGGGGTCTTGTCACGTCTTTGTAACAGAGAAACGGGTACCAGACGAAGAGCAAGCACAACCCACCAGAAACCGCCCGTCTCACCTGATGTGCCACTTGGAGTCGTAGTCCGGGTCATCTTCGCCGTCGTCCAGGAGCCGCGAGGGTGCGTTGGCGTCGGAGCAGTGGATGAACCGACAGCAGTACAGCAGCTCGAACTTGTCTCGCGACATGCAATTGCGCACAAGAGGGTAGTCGTGGCGTTGTGATGTACTCCAGCGCTTTCTCATTCGGGTTTTCTTCGTGAGTCCCATCGTGATCGTAAGGCCAACCATGCCGTAGATGTTGTCCTCGTTGAACGGGTCACCCTGGTCTGGCTCGGTGGGATCATCCAAGATGACGCGGCCATGTCCTTTTCTTCGATCGCTGGTGCTTACGCCGAGGGTCCACCGCATCCTCTAGTGGTTCCGTCGTGCAATGCTCAACGTACGCATTCGTCTGGGCGGACAACAAACGACGAGGGGAATGGGCGAATGGGTAAGGTGGCGGTTACTTTATTAGGTTGGTTGCGCAATTGCTACGACTGCAGTACGAGTGGTTCTTGTTCCCAACCTGTAAGTTTCAAGGGAAAACAAAGCCGTGCGTGTTTGGTTTGCAACAACAGTTTTGCCTACAACACAAACAACGCCAGCGGGGACCAAATCCATGAAGGAGGGAGAGGGAAACGTTTTTTTTTTCTTGCGCTGTACCAAGTCGACTTTTGTACGACACAGTGGCTGATCCACTTTCGGGTGAGAGGGCCCGGCTTTCGTGCTCGGCGCATTCGGAGTTAGAGACGGGACACAAACAGCTGCGAAAAAAAAAGGCGCACCTTATCAACGAAGACTTCCACTGCCTCTTTGGGGAAGTTCATGTCGAAGCACGTCCCCACCACTTGCTCAATCGCGAAGCCCCCGGAGTTGCTGCCGATCGTCTGCATGAACTGGTCCAGCGCCGGCATCTTCTCCCGCGCGCTCTGGGAAAGCGACACCGGGCTAGCAGAGGACCCTGCAGCGGGTTTCTTCTTGCGCCTTTTGTAAGCGTCCGTGTTCTCGAATTCAGGGATCCCCCGCTCCGACCAAGCCCAGGATTCGTCGACTTCTTCATCCTCCTCCTCCTCCTCCTCCACCGATTTCGGCTGCCGCCGTTTGGTCGGCTTCTTCGGGGTTGCACGCGCGCCACCCTGTGCTGCGATCGCTGCCTCTGCTGCCTCCTTCGCTTTCTTGTCCTCCTCTTCCTTGATCCTGAGAAGCTGCATTGGTCATGTCGCGGAAATCCGTCGGCCGGGGGGGGTGGGAGCAACGAAGTTGTCAGAGACGTCCTTTGTCACAGGGGTCGTGATTACGCAGACGAGACACGAACGCAAGGCGGGCGAAAAAACAAAACAAAAAAATTACCCACTCACACCACGCTCTCGCATCACGCGCCAGCGCAGCGCAGCAGGTATCGGCCCTTCAAACACTTGCAACATATGTGAGCGTCCAGAAAACATGAAAGGCTAATACACAGCGGTAAGGAAGAGGACCTTGCATCGAGATTCTCCTCTCGCGCGAGTGCCACAGCCACGGGCAATCAATCAATTGTGAAATATCGTGGAGGGTACGTAGGCAACCACCGCGTTGTAGTTCGTCGTCTAGGTAGCGCTTGGACCTGTTGTAGCTCACGGCATTGACCTCGCCGAGTCTGCCCTAGTCGGCTGTCTGTGCAAGTAACTAACTTCTGCTGCGCCCGCTTCCTCCGTGCATTTATCGATCTGTTTTCTTTTGCTCTCTACAGACAAGTGTGACACATCGCGACAAAACATGTACGCTTCTCTCTTTACGAGAATGGTCATCATCGCGGCGTTGGCGGTAAGCGCCTTCTCCGTATCATCCCCAAGACACGAGGTACCCTCGAGTACCGAACCAGGGTGAGTTACAGACTGGGGTTAGTTAGTCAAGTCAACCCGCCCGTCTCCACTTCGAGCCTAGATATTGCCGAATATACACCTCTCGCGCGCATAGCGTGAGACAATTGCGATTCGTTGTCTTGGATGAATGTGGGATCGCTGCCCTTGGTGTCCTTCAATGGCACAAGCTGCGTGCTCAATGGAAAACTGTAATTTGCACCGTTTAGACTACTGCTGATTGTAGCCCAATCAATGGCGACGCCCATCAGGTCGAGTTAATGACAGAAAAGAAAAATGAGAACCGTCATGACAGTATGCTGCATGTATTTTTCCGTCAGTGTTTCGTCCCATATACTCTTGTCGGTGCTCGCAGTATCCACCCTCCGTGTGGTAG